AAGAATTTTGCAGTGTTTGTGTTCAGTCTAAAGTTGCACGTCCCACCTGGGCTTGTGGGCTGGCGAGGTGCCCATGGGCCCTCTGGGTCTCAGCTTCCTCAGCTGTGATGTGAGCACATTAATGACACCGTACTAAGACCTGTTGTGAGGATCAGAGATGTTTCCAGGAGAGGGGCTGCTTGCTAAGTACTAAAACATTATAGTTCTCTTACACTGAAGATGGGTGACAGCATTCTAGCTGATGTCACCAGCTGTTAAGTTCTCCCAACCCTTGCTCACCAAGCAACTTTTTGATAACTTAGCTCCCCATATAGCTTTCCTGTGGTGAAATTAAAGTTATTTTCATTTACCCAATTGCAAACCTTAGTTTGTGCATTTGGAATGGCTTGGGTTCAATTGTGTGAGGACATGATTGTTGCCTTGTGGGAGACCATTTTTGGCAGGTCCCCATAATGCAGTTCTGATGGACAGTATATCNATGGCCAGTGAAGCAGCGTCCTCCACAACTAGACTGAAGAACAAAAGGACAGCAACTTGTCTGTTCCCCTTCCCTGATTCCCCAACGCTGTTCCCCGCCCCCAATTACCCAATAAAATCTTTGAAAAAAAATTGTGAAACTAAAATGTGGGTAATTTCTATTAATCTTTACAGATCCTAAAGATATAGCTGCCTATCCCAATCCACACTCTATGAGTTTGCAGTAAAAATACTTAATTGCAAGACAGTTGAAAGTTTCAAGACATTAGGTTTTAGATAAATGAAGAGTCTTAAATAGATGATGGGAAGCAGCTCAGTAACAAATTGGCTTATGTTACAGGAGTAACAAGATTTTTGTTTAAACCTGAAAAATAAATATAAAGTAATTTAATCCTAGAAGCTAAAAGTAATTATTTTGGACATGTTGGTGAATTTTCTTCTTATATGTTTGGGTTTTTCTTTATTTGTAAAATGTTTTAATATTTGCCTAATATTTCATCATGTGGCTGTGACATAATTTAGCCATAATGGTCAGTTATTTTTTTTTAATTAGGGGTAATTTCACCCCTACTCAAAAGCAGTACAGTGACACCCCCCCCCCGCCATGTACCAGGCAACAAGTCTCAATAGCCATCAAACCACTGCCAATCTTGCCCGTTCAGATTATTTTGAAGCAAATAAAAGTATTTTTTCAATACCTGTAAATGGGGAATTGAAAGTGAACAAAATGCACACAAAGCAAATATTTACGTTAGTAGTAAAAATTGTTAATTACCTGAAGTTTTACACATTTTTGTCAGGGATACAGATTCAATTTAACAAGAAGCTGCTTTTTTTTTTTTAATCCAATATGGCTAGTTCCACCTTTAGAATCAACATAGGACTTTTTAGATGTTGATTCGACATTGATTAAAAACAATTAAGTGGGTGTTTTGACATTTACAGAGGCCATGGAAATGTAAAGTGACATGATTAATGACGGAAAGGCATCGGGGAGAAGGGAGGCAGCGCAGAGGCGCAGGAGAGAGCGCCAAGCACACGCACGGCTGGTTCGGGCGGGCATCGCGGCTGCTGTTCCCATCCACCGCCTTCTTGCATGTAGATGAATGGACCCCCCACTATGGAAGGGGCTAAAGATAGGCAAAAGGGCTTAACCGAACTGCTGCTGATATAGTGCCTTTCTCAGAGGGTCGGAAGAGCTCAGGCAGTGCCTGGCACCCACTGCCCAGTACACGTCTGACGTTAATTGCTCCGTGATTTTCAGAGCTCACAAAAATTCCTGGTGGGTTTTTCCCCCTTTATGACAATATAGGTTATTGAGTAAAGCTTTAGAAAACACATTTGATTTAACTTTAAGTTGAGCATTCTAATTGAGATCTGGCTGTGGTATCTTACTAGGCTATGACATTTAAGTCATTCTGTGTTTCTTTACAGCCTTAACTGTAGAGATTACTATTGTGTTTTAGGTTTAATTCATAACTGTAAATACTGTTAATATTAAATTTTATCTCTGAAAGCTCTTTATATTACCCATAGAAAACTCTAGTTGAAAAATGTATGAAAGCTAATGATAAATTCAAGTTATGTATGTATGAAAACTTAAATACACGAATCTGTTATGCATGATTCATAGAGAGGAAAAGTTGCAAGTCTTCCATGGCTGGATGTGTCTGTATAATGCTGTGATTGCATATTAAAATGTGCAAGATTACAATTTTTACCTGTGCTGATTTGGGTTTTCACAAGAAATATATTTAAAGGCAGTCTTAACTGTTGTAGCATGATTTCTCACTTTTGCTTCACTTCTTATTTCATTTATCTTTGAAACCAAAGTGACTAAATATTAAATTCAACAAATCAAATTGAGCTAATATGAGTAACGTGGCCTGCCAGATATCAGGAGAAACAGATCCTGGGAACTTGGCAAGGAAGCTCACTGCTCTCCTGAGCTTCCGGGACTCAAAATAGGTCTTTGTCAGCATCAAGTGTACAGTTCAGTGGTATTAAATACGCACATAATGTGCAACCATCACCACAGTCCATCACCATAGCTGTTTTCATCTTGGAAAATGGAAACTTGGTATCCATTAAACACTAACTTCCCATTACCCCTGCTCCCAGCAACAACTATTTTACTTTCTTCCTCTATGATGTTGACTAAGTATCTAAGTCGAAGCATACAGTTTGTTCTTCTGTAACTGGCTTATTTCACTTAGTATGACTTCCACAAGGTTCATCCCTGTTGGAGTCTATGTCAGAAATGACCTTCCTTTTTTAAGGCTGAATAATATTCCATTGTATGTATAGACCACATTTCATTTATCCATTCATCTGTTCATGGACACTTGGGTTGCTTTTTTTGACTATTTTGAATAATGCTGCTATGAACATGAGTATACAAATATCTTTTCATGTGCCTGCTTTCAGTTCTTTTGGGTATATACCCAGAAGTAGAATTGCTTAATCAAATGGTGATTCTATACTTAAGTATTTGAGGAACCCCCATACTGTTTTCCATAGTGGCTGCACTATTTTACATTCTCACCAACAATGCAAAAGGGTTCCCATTTCTCCACATCCTTGTGACACTTGTCATTTTCTGATTTTTTTAACAGTAGCCAGCCTGATGGGTATGAGATTGTATCTCCTTGTGATTTTGATTTGCATTTCCCTAATGATCAGTGATGTTGAATATCTTTTTATGTGCTTATTGGCTAGGTGTATATCTTTGGAAAAAATGTCTATTGCAGTCTTTTGCCCATTTTTTGAATTAGGTTATTTGTCTTTTATTGTTGAGTTTTAAAAGTTCTCTCTATATTTTGGATATTAATTCATTATCAGGTATCTAGTATTTTCTTCTATTCTCCCACTGGGATTTTGGTTAAGAAAAACTTGGGCCAGGGTGGGAGGATGTGCTTGTCTTAGTCCATTTGGACTGCTGTATCAAAAACAACATCGACTGGATGGCTTACACAGCAAACATTTATTTCTCACTTGAATACACTGAACTTTGGATATACACTGCATCGTAGATAACTGTAAAAAATTATTGTTCATTTTCTTTAGCGTGGTTATGGTAGGACAATGTCCTTATTCTTATAGTAGGTACAGATTGAATTATTTGAGGTGAAAAATCATGATGTGTATGATTTAATTTCAAATGGTCCAGTAAAATCAGCAAACAAATGTGATAAAAGTTAACAATTGATGCATGTGAAGGATATATAAGACTTCTTTATGCCATTCTTAACTTTTCTATTGCCTAGAGAATGTTCAAAATAAAAATTTGAGAGGGATAAAAGCAAAACAACAGAAAAAGAAGAACATTACTTGGTTAATAAAACACTGCGACGCTTGTGCTTTGACATTGCTAAACTTGGCATTGCATTTATTTGGAATCTTGAAATAAATATTTTTAAAATGTGGATACTTTTCTGAGGCCTCTAAATTTAGGTTACAGGGTAGCCATGGAGAAGGATTTGCCCTTTGAATCATACGTTGAAAAGGTAGAGTTGATTTTGGCAGGGTGTACCCTACTGACCGGCTAGAAGAAAATGTTCTCCCTATGCTAATCATATTTGAATTTTACAGTACAACCATTCAGAACATGTACTTACTGTTTACCTAACAGGAGTTAGGACAGAAGTTGTCACTCTTTTAGAACGAAGGAGCTAGAGGAGTCCAAAATATGGGATATTGATAGAAAACGATATAGAAGGGGTGGGATGCATGCTTGGTCTTGGGAACACAGAAAGGATCTAATTCTAAATATTTGTGTGTGGAAGAGCAGAAGGTAGAATGGGGATCATCGAATAGAGTCAAATGAAGGGGCTTGTGAAAAAAGAGGACGAGTTTTACTGGTGGGGGTTGTCTCAAATGTAACGTGTAAGTTTACTGTGGGTGATTTTGAAGACATAGAAAAGCACAAAGGAGAAAACAAAACCACTGACATCTCACCACACGGGTTAGCATTTAGGCCTGTATACACTTCCAGGATGTTTTCTACACACTAATAATCATGATGATGACGACAAACAAACGTTTATTGTGCACTTGCTACGTGCCAGGTACATTTTAAGCAGGTACCTATATTTTCTAAGTTAGTAAGAATACTCTGTGAGATAAATAAGAGCTATTATTCCCTTCTTTTGCTAACAACACAGTCACTATGTTCATCTAAGTGGCCCACATGACAGCGTGAGGTGGAGCCCAGAGTCCATGCATGTTGTCTGACCACAGAGCCATTTTGTATCAAATACTTTTTTTTTTTATAAAAAAGAAACTGTGCATTGAACGGTTCTATAATCTGCTTTTTAAAAAAGCAGTTAAGGGGCCGGCTGAGTGGCGCGATGGTTAAGAGCTGGCTTGGGACTCCAGAGGGCCCCAGTTCGGATCCCACATATGAGGGCCAGTGACACTGCCCTCCACAGCTAAGATGCTGAACAACAGCTCAACCTGGAGCTGGNCCCCCACCCCGGCCCCGCGCGGTGGTCACGCGTGTGCGGCCCGTGTCTTTGCAGTTGCTGCCGAAGAGGTTGGATTGGGAAGGCAACGAGCACAACAGGAGCTACGAGGAATTGGTGAGACTTTTGCCATTTCTGTCCCGGTGTTTTCGAGCACCTGGCCCCCCGCCCCCTTTTCGGGGCTCCGGCTCGTGGGGCGCAGCGACCCAGCCGCGCTCGCAGGCTGGTGGGCGGGCGGCCGGGGCGTCACCGGGACCGTGGGACTTCCCCGGGAAGGTTTTGTTTTGCATTGGGGTGGCTGGGTTTGTTTTGGTAGGAAATGGCCCTGGGGGGCCGCGGGGCGGCGGTGGGGGCGACTCTCCGCGGCGGTTTGCGGTTGGGTGGCTCCCCAGGTGCGATTGCTCACGGTGAGAGCCGGGGGCGCGCGTGCGCGCGGGTGGAGGCGCGACAGCCATTCGGCGAGCTGCTCTCATCCGTAACCTGACTTGTAACTCTAGCTCTGATTGGTCTTCCTCCTTTGGCCCCGCCCAGGTCTTAAGACCACTTGTTCCCTAGGAATAGATAGACCCTTTGGCGTTTGAAAGGTGGAGAAGTGTTCCTCGTTAGCATTTTTTTCTTTTAGCTCATCAGCATAATAGAAATATTGCTGCCATGCTTCCATTACTTTTGCCGCTCTAAACTGTACACTTGTTGAAGGCCTTAAAAAACTGATTTAGTTTTAATTTTTCCAGTGACCTTGCTGTACATGCTAATATAGGCACCAGCTATGCAGTTTTGTTTTTGACGCATCATTAACGTAGATTATAGTTCCCTTTTTGATATATTTTGTAAATTTGTTTAGTTGCCTTCACAATATATAATTTGGTTTTATCCATTCGTTTGTCCTTAGTGGAATAAAACATTTTTCAGGAAAATGTTTTTGTCCGTTGGTGTAGAATTTCTGTAGTTGCTGGACCGTGTTCAACATCTTGTATGAACAAACTAATTGAATAAAGAGCTCTTGAATGATCTTTTACCACAGTTCTAATACCTGTGTATGAACAGTTAAAGTCAGGTGAAGTAACAGGAATTCTAGTTCAATTGTCAGTTTTAATATTTGTGTTATTAGAGTTTTTTTTTGATACAAACATTTAAAAGCAGATATTTTCAAGAAAGTTCTAAAAATTCTGCAAAAATTCTGCATGATCGCTGAGTTTTTATATTTTATTGAGTTTGATACTTTGAGATGTTTTTAAAGTCAAGGAAATGTTTAAAGGACTGGTCTGTTGTATTTTATTCTTGATGAGAGGTGGTAATAGTGTTTTCGGTGAAGCAGAGCAGCATTGTAACTGAATCAATTTGCTTATTTTTGTTTATGCGTATACTCTAGCAAAAATAAGATATGTAAAAAAATATGAATTTCATTTCTCTGGAAGAGTTGAACCATTTGTTGGACATTTGGTTGATTTCCAGTTTTTTCCTGTTAGTGGTTACAAGAGTTATGTATCTCCTCATTTATTTATATCATATAATTGTCACTTAATAAATTCCTAGAAACTTAATATTGAATAAAATGGTTTAGGTGTTATTAATGTTTATTGTACATTTGCTCTCTTTAAGGCTTTGCCAGTTTAAACTCTTGACAACCAACCATATGAGAGTATATTGATTTCTTACCCAGATAACCTTTTTAATCTTTGCCAATGTGATGGATGACATAGTAGCTAATGTTTGAGTCATTTTTTTCTAAGTACTGCTGCACAAACAAACTTTAACCTTAAGAATTATTTCAGACATTAAGAATTATTTCAGACATTTCAGGACTCAGCAGTTGAACTTAGAAACTATATCAAATACGGTGCTTTTATTTGTCTCTTCTAAAATATTAAGATCCCGACATTTCTTGAACATTTTTATAAACCCTTGTTTATGTTCGTATTGAGTTTTTTGAATTTATTTTAAAGATGTAACTAAAATGAATAGGTTTTATTTCTTTTGGTCAGACTTCTTGATGAAATAATGAACTAAGTTTTACGTTAATGTTGAAATCTATGGTCTTTATGTTTATGTGGCTGAAATTATTTTACCAAGTATTTTACTGTTTCATATCTTCTGTAGGTTGTTGCATGCTAAAAATCCATGCATGTTGCAGTGTGCCTGTCTCTTCTGTTCTAATACATTGTGTGAAACAGTATTTTTTAGAAACAAAGTTTGACTTTTGGGGGAATAGTTGATTCTTCATTAAGTTCCATATAGGATCCAGACTTTAAGCTTTGTACAGGTCTTATTTTGATCATACTCTGCTTAGAAAATTGTATTTTGATTTGGTACAACAGAAGAATCTCAAGTTCAGTGTTTTCTTTTCAGATGTTAGCTGATTTATGGGTAAAGCCTCTGAGAATTTTTGCATTCTGTATTTTATTTTTTTTCAGATGATCTGATGGTAGGACCATAAACTAGTAGAGAACACCCTATCAAGAATATCAGAAATCTTAGATATTTTTCTTTTGAATAATTTGTAATTTGGAAAAGCTTTTGTAGTCTAGAAATAGGGCCCATTGTTTTACTAGAGGAGGAAGAAAAATGATATTAGATTGCATAGAAATGTTAACTTAGGATATATCCCCATTTAGTGTTGGAGTCAGCATCAATAGCATTTTCCAAGTATGCTTCACTTTACTGGAATGGTTGGATGACTTTGCTACAGATATTCAGCATGCTGTTATGATTTGTGCGATTACATAGCACATGAAAGTAGGTTTATGGTATACTTCCATTTGCTTAGGAGCAGGGCCTTAACTAATAAAGATATATAATGATGTTTTAAAAGTCTGCAGATGGAATTCATGCAGTGATTAATGGTGTCTTTCTGCTTGGGCAGCCTCTACATTTTGGCTTTTTTCTCCTCAAACTTTCAGTTATACAGTTGCTATTGTAGATTGCTCTGGCAGTGACATACTAGAAATGATGGGACTCTTACTAGGGAGGAGAATTTTTTCTAGGGACATTCTCTTGTCCTAGATTTCTTCTCACTTTCATTGTCCAGAACAAGACCACATGACCTAATCATGAAAAAGTGTAGACAAGTGAGGTTCTGCCGAAGTGGGAAGGTTGCCAAAGCTTATGAACAAAACTTGATCTTGAGTCCAGGCTTATTTTATATTTGAATTCATGATTAAGAACTAAAAGTGAGATCTAGAACAATGTTTTAACTTTACTTTGAAGCAGTGTTTCTTAGAGAGTGTGAAAATGGGCCTTGTTGATGTCAGAGTGGCATGGGAGTATTATTGGCATTAATGGAATACCAGCGATATCATATGTCCTGAATGTGGGGACAGTCCTGTACAGTGATGTTTTGTTCTTCCTTAATGCCAGTAACATCATGATTGAGAAATCTAGAGATAAAGCATTAAAGTTTGTGCCAAACAGGCATATTCATGAGTTAAACTTACACATTACTCTTTGTTTTTAATTGAGGTCTAATTGACATACAAATAAACTGCACATATTTATAAAGTGCTCAAGTTGATAAATTTGGATGTGTGTTACACTTGTGAATCCATAATGAAGGTAGTAAATGTATCTATTACACCCCAAAGTTTCCTCCTCCTCTTTGTAATTCCTCCTGCTTCCCCCCAAGCTATCTCTGATCTGTTTGCTGTAGCTATATATTAGTTTGCATTTTCTAGACTTTAATATAAATGAAATCATACAGTGTGTACTGTTTTCTTGGCTTCTTTCAGCATAATTACCTTGAGATTCATCCATGTCCTTGTGTGTTATTAATAGTTCATTTCTTTTTATTGCTGAATAGTATTCCATTATACAGAATACACTAATTTGTGCATTCATTCATTCATTTTTTTTTTTTAAAGATTTTTATTGGGGAATTGGGGGAAATGGAACAAATTGCTGTTGTTTCGTTCTTCAGTCT